TACTCTCGAACTTCTCTGGAACCTTGCTTGCCACCATTTGCTCCTTCTGCTCCGGCCACATTGGCCTTGCTTTGCCCTGTGGTGCTCTTCACATTCTTGCCTTCTTCAGGAATTTGGATGCACTATGTTCTCCATCCAGAATGTTCTCTTTCTTTTTAGCAGTTCAGCTTCCAGCCCTTCCTTAGATGGTGACCTTTCCTGAATTCCCACACTGAGTAGGTGTCAGTATCGCCTTTTCGCCTCACCACACAGCACCACAAGCCTGTTTTTACCATCTTTTCTGTGCCCTGGAGGAGATGTCCAGAACTGCATTGCTCAGAATCACCTTCACCATATGGTTCCTGGTTAGAGTTCATCAATGAGTGGTGTTCTCAAGAAGTTTGGGAGGCAAAAGGGAAAGAGCCCTTTATTCCCTGAAAGCCATTGCAGGCAGATCAAACAGCAAAAGCCAGATTTGAAATTTGGAAGCACTCCTGGAAATCATCAGCAGTAGCTTCTGAAGAGATTGTGAGAGGAAATAGAGACATATAGACCAATAATGATGTATGTTCATGAAAGCTAAGTATCCTTGTGGCATAGTGGAGAGAACATCATAGAATATAGATTTTAGTTCATGCTCTGTCACGTCTGGGTGACCCTAGATAATTTTTTTTGAAGAGTCTCCAAGTTCTCTCATTTTAAAATGAAGAGCTTTTGCTATGAGGAGAAAAGGATACAGAGCACGTGAAATTGCTTTTAAGTTAATGATGTCCACTTTGCTATAATTCCCTTGGCTGGAGTATGTATAAGTCCTGTTCTCTTCCTGAGTCCCTAGGCTGATATCCCGTAATGATTCCAAGAGATTTCTGGGTAGGAGTTTAATGAATCTTGCTCAGACTTAAATGAACACATGTGCCATTTTTAGGCTTATTTAAACTACATGGGTCTGTCACTTTAATTCTGAAGCCAAACTTCCCTAAACTCAGCGCCATGTGAATTCATGTTTTTAAAATATCACCTAAAAGTGAGGTCACATTTACTTTTTTCTTAACTGGCATTTTTGTGTCATTGTATTAAGACATGAATCACAAGAGAAGGGTGAATTGTTAATGTTGCTTTGGGGAGCAGCTGAGCTTGTAAGGAAATTAGTCACTAGTATTTTGTACAAACTTGACCCCCTCTGTTTCCCTAATGTCCAAGGAGTGTGACTTTCAGGGCTTGGTACACACTTCCTGCCTTTTAGCATGACTTGTAATTTTGTGTTGAAAGCTAGAAATGATATGTCAGGTAAATAGGAACTGTGGTAAATAGGCCTTAGGGTGAGGTTTTATGATAACCTGGCTAGGAGTTAGGCTGTGTTTCACGTTTGCTGTAGCCGTCAGAAGCTAAAATTTCCTCTAGTGTCCTTGGTTTTGTCTCTCCTGTTGCCTTGGGGGTTTTCCTACAAATTTCCCTTATAAAAGATCATTGCAACTCTGGTAGCTCTAATCTACTGTTATCATACTGGAGCCCTGCTGATGGGGTGGTAAGGTATGGGAAAGGGGAAGTGTTCTGTAATTTTGGGATTAAATCCTAGTCTTTTAGTGGCCTGAGTCCCTGTACTGTGACTTTCACAGTGCTTCTTAGCTCCCCCTTTCCTCTCCCCCCCAACCCCCCAATAAGGAGGACACGGAAATGAAACTGGAGTTGGGAAATTGCCCTTCAGCTGCCTCAGGGAGATGAGTTCTTTTACTGGAGAGGAAGATTTTATTATGGAGAATGCTCTGGTTATATTTAAAAATGGTTACTTTTCCCCTGCCTCTACTAGAGGTACACTGTGATCTTTTTTTTTTTTTTTTTTTTTGGCTCTGGGCTGTAAGGAGTTGGTGGGATTTCTGGACACAAAGCTCCTGAAAGTTTTGGGGTCCCCCTAAGACTACAGCCCCCAGGAATCTCCCACCTCTCACACTAGTCCTCACTCAGCCTCCAGCAAAATAACCATTTAAGTATTCTCACCAGTGTATGCCCCTGTCCCACCCAGGCTTGTGCTCAGGTAAAATGACCTCAGCCGCGAGTCTCTGCAGTCACCTCACTAAAATTTGGGTGGCACTTTGCCCTGAGGCCTTGATTCTCTGATGGCTCCAAGAAACATCATCATCACTTTTCAGTTTGTTCAGCTAATTTTCCTTGTCGTAGGGACATGAGTGATGGCTTCCAAGCTCTTTAGATTTCAGGGCTGGAACTAGAAGCCCTCCATGCACTTTCTTTTAAAAACCAACAGTCTAGTGCTGTGCATTGATTCTCAAAGGAAAATAAATACACATATTGGTCCCTCCACTCCACTGTTAATATGTTATTTTATTATAATTTTATGTTAAGACAGAAGCATAAATTGAAACCTAAATTCCATAGCTCTATAGTTTTAACCAACTTTTAAAATATAATTCGTTTATAAAATAAATTTCTTAAAATCCTACAAAAATACTGAAACTTTAATAAAAAATATCAATTTAAGATTGTGTGGGTAACCAAAACAGTTTCGATAAGCTTAATAGAAGGAAGATACTGCTTAGTTCTGATACTATAGTCTGTTTCTGTATTTTAATTTCAATAATATTTATGTAGGAAACTTCTATATAAAATGTATAAAATGTTATTGATAATGTTAAGGTTTTTATTTTTGCCTACTTATGATCATCAAACAAAAACTCTGCAAGGAGGCAATATTTCAATATCAATTTTGATGAGGTATGTTTTGATAGTTATATAAATGCATTATATCCACATAGATGTGTCCATTGCAACACTACTAAAACTTGTATTTTAATCACTATCTATACTTAATCTTATCCAAAAGGCCAGAAGCGATTTAAATCATTATCTAATTATTGCTTCAAGTTTGGACTATGAAAAAAAAATATTATCTTTGCAAATTTATCACATAAATATGTGATATCATTGCCTTATAACCAATGACCTATTACACTTTTAGACCTACAAAAGTACCCCTTAATGAGGGTAAGTTATATCTGCCTTTGCTTTTAGCATGTGTGCTTTCACCATGATGAACCCAATGAGGCTCAAGTCAGTTCTTCCATCCCATTTCTTTATTTGATTGTCAAACTTATTCTAACACTTGGTGTAATGCTATGTGGCCTTCACTCTAGACACGTATGTCCACAAACAACAAAAAAGATGTCACAAGCATCCCATGACACTAAATGATAGTGAAGCCACTCTCCACATGATCTGGAATGTGCCCACATTCGTGATTTGTTTTCAATATAATATTCCGGACAGAGACCCCGGATGATACATACACTGAACTTAGATTGAGAATAATGTATATTTTGCTGAGTTTTGAAATCAGATTTAACTAGGATTGTATACCAGCTCTGATGACTCATAGCTCCTTGCTCTTGGCAAGTTTGCCTAATACCTCTAAGCCCCAATTTCTTAATCAGGAAAATGACCTGGCAAAGTTGTTGTGAAATCAAATGAAACAATGAATATAAAGTCCCAACTCCTTAGACATTCCCTCTGTTCTTTTAATTCATCATTAGCTTAACTTGAATATATTTTCTACCTGCTTCTCTAATAAGGCATATAATGTAATATATAATATATTATTTATACACATACATGCAAAGAGAAACAGAGGGATTTTTTTTAAATGAACAATTAGATTTTTGAAGAATTTAGAGAAGTGGTTAGCATTGTGGAAGTAAAGATATATACATAGCAATGTTGCAGAGACATTCTAGAAATATAGCCTACTCAGGCAGAAATAAACCTCATTAGGGTAGAATTTTGGAAAGCTGTGTCTTCGTTTGGTGTTCACAGACTGACTTATCTAATCACCTAGTGTTGACAGGGGTATTCAAATTTAAGATTTATAAACTCCAGATTTTTTAAAAACCCCCAAAGGACCTATAAGATGTATATATAAAATAAGAGGTGTGTACAAACAATTATAAAGGAGATAAAAAGAGATCTGATGTTAGTCTAAGTTCCTCTTCAGCAAGAATTTGATGATAAACTGAACGTGGTTAAGGAATAGCCTGGTAGCCATTACGCAGGTGCAGCCCAGATCCACTATAGTAATCTCACTTCTTGTCCAAAGCTACCTGGCTGGAACTCTCACTGTTACTCTAGTGCCCCTGTTATTATTGCTATTACCATTAGCCTTTAGGAATGTCTGGAGGATAATGTTGCTTTTTGCCTGTCAAAGGCAGTGTGCAGTTCCTGCATTCCTTCTACCAGGGACATTGTTTTCTGAGACTCTTGTTCTGTGGTGCTCGAGGGCATACATAGCAAGATCATTTTAGCCATTGATGGGAGGGAATATTATCCCTCCCTGTGGAAAGCACCAAGAAGTGCCGATGAGATATAAACTAAATACCTTTCCCCAGAAGAATTAGATATAAAAATTAGGCCATTAATGTAACATATGCTTTTAATGTGTGTCGTACTGGGATGTGGTGAATGTGGTCAAATCAATGAGATAAAAAGTGTAAACTCTGACAGGATGGTGGAAGGGGAAGGATATTTCTTTCGTCTGACTCCATGCCTGAGACTACCTTTCTCCACTATATTTCTGGGGAAATAAACAGCTGGTTAGATGCTCAAAAAGGATCTGTAGATAATGCTAACAGCATAGGTAGAGCTGAAGTGAGCATTATTGGATCATTACTTTTGCTTAGTTAGCATACATATCCTTTCCTCATGTGTTTTGTGTTTAAAGCTAGAGATAAGAAATACAGAAAAAAGGATTAAGGAAAACAAATCACTTAAACATGGAGTTTCTCTTCAAACTTCTATAGCATGAAAGAAAAGATAATGAGAATCAATATAAGAAGAGATTAGTAGAAAATAGATAATGGGAATGTATAGAAGGCATACATGTCTTATAAAAAGGAAAATAAATCCATCTACCATATATTATATACCCTGTTATAATAACTCCCCATTTTTTTTTCATCTTACTTCTCTTTTTTTTTTTCCCCTTTTTTTCTAATGGGAGGAGGAATTAGTTATCTGACAAATTTAGATTTTGCTAACTCGTACTTTGGTGAGAGCATTATTGAAATGCATTGTTAAGAAAGATTTTCAACACTCAGTGTGTCATTTCCTTTCTTCATGTATCAGATGCTGAAATACTGTGTGATAAAGATTTTAAGTTTCAATTGTAAAAAGAGGGAAGAGTGGATAAATCAGTGCAGCCGTCTTTAGGACAAACGGTAAAATAAGTTTATTTTAATGTTCTTCCAAAATTGTTTCTATTGTTTATATGTGTCTAGCCTGTGTGTCTGTATGTGATATGTGATATGTGATATTTATATATATGTATATGTATATATATATTCAATAATCTCTGGTATAACTTTTTAATCCTATTACTAATAATTTGGTTTGGTTGTTTAAATGATAAAAAAAATAGAAATTTTTGTTTTTTCTAGGTATTCCATGAGTGAAAAATATATGTGTGTGCCTAGATATATACGAAATATACTAAATACTTTGTAGGTTAAACCAGCAAGATGTTTTTGGCATTTAATTGTGTATATTTTGATAAAAAAATATTGGCTTTATTCAAAATATGATTAAACATATTTTAATTAGTCTTATTTCCTAAATTTTCATGTTATATTTTTGGCTTTTATTTAATACCTTTTATTACCTTTACTTGATCATATGGGAAATTTTGGTCATGCATCTACACATGCACGTTGTTGAACTAGATGTAAAAAAGGGATACAAAAAATAAAATGCAGTCGCTGTCTTCAGGAAGTTCATGATCCAAAACAAATATATAATTTGAACACCTTAATATGATATTAAATTATATATAAATCTATAATTTGAGTGCCTTAAGTAGAATGAAAGTGCTACAGTTAACTACTGTGGGAACAGAGGAGATGTCAAAATTACTTCAGAGGGAGAAGGGACTATTAAAAACATCTTCACTGATTTGTTAGCATTTAGGTTCATCTTGAAGAATGGGTAAGATTTACACAGCATAGAATGGGGGTGAGCACTCTTATTGGCAATGTGAGAATAATGATAGAAAGGTCATAGAGCTGAGTTTATAGATGTTTGATGCGGTAGTTAGGAGCTGATATTCTGGAAGTACAGAGCTCACATCCAAATCTAAGCTTCTCTGTCCCCTAGTTCTGTACCATTAACTAGTTAATATCTTAGGTCTTGGTTTCCTAGCTGTTGTGAGGATAAAATAAGCCTATATTTTTAAAAAATTGGTGTTTTAAAATATTGACTCATCTGTTGATAGTTGTCTGTGTACCAGACAATTTACAAAAATTATTTTTAATTATCATAGTACTTTAAAGTGATATTGTAATCATATTTTATATATATAAAGAAAAATCAAATAAATTGTTTGTCCAAAATCACATGCCTAGGAAATGGCACAACCAATATTCAAACCTAGACTTTATGTTCAAAAATTGATGCTTTTTCCCTCACTACCAAGGGTGAGCATCAGTAGTATCAGGCCCAATATGGGTGTTTTTATTTCTTACCTTAATCCCTTTTATGGATACATTTTTTAACTGTAGAGCTATTGGTTTCACAAATATGTTAATTTTCTATTTTTTTAATTTTTTAATTTTATTATTTTTTTTGAGGAGTGTGCAGCTCAAAGTGACCCATGCAGGGGTTGAACCGGCAACCGTGTTGTTCAGAGCACATGCTCTAACCAACTGAGCCACCCAGCCACCCTATATATGTTTTTTAACTGTTCATACAAAATCAGATTTTTTATTTTTAAATAATAAGGAAAGTTACAAAGTTATTATTTATTCCACATCTCACAGATGAAATTACCTTAAAAGTTTGATCAGAAATCTGAAATAGAAAACAGCCTTAGCAGGAAAAATATGCACAAAATATATATTACATATAGTTTATTTATATCTATGTAAAGAAAGATCCCCTGAGGATGCATAACCAACTGATATGAATAAACAAAACAAAAGAAGAAAAATAAATAATTACATGGAAATATCTCAACACTAATAACAAAAAATGCAAATAAAAGCCTCCTTGGAGGTATCATTTAAGTCTCAACAAAATCTAAATGACTCTGGAATAAACATTATTACTGAATAGTGGTGAATTTGGTTTAAAACTTCCATATTCAAAATATGACTAGAAAATTTATAAATTCGTATGATCTTTTTAAAAAGTAGTCAGGCAGTAGATACCAAAGAATTTTTTTTTTTTACACCTGAAACTAACAATAAAAAACAACAACAAAAAAACAACTGATGTTCATATCAGAAAAAAAAACACAAAAAACCCAAAAACAAAAACAAACAAACAAACAAAACCAAAGAATTTAAAATAGTTTTTCTGTTAACTGATAATGCAACATATGGTGAATAATCCTAAAGAAACATCTCAAAATAATACAGATAAATTATGAAAATATTTACATTATCATCTATATTAGTAAAATATTGCCCTCTAAAGAAGAGAAAAATTTTTAAAAAAAGGAAAAAAGAATTACATTATAGGAAAATGGTTAAGTGAATAGATACATATATTTGATGTTATTATGTAGGCCATGATTTAAAATTTAAAAATAATTTGAAGCATAAAAATAATATGATTTTAAGAGACATGTATAAGACCAAATGATAATGTACACTGTAAATCAACCATGTAGCATGGATGTATAGGTATAAAGACTCAAATTTTATATAAAAAGAATGAAAGTATTTTTTTCTTATATTAGGGCAATGAGGTAATAGAAATTTTGCCCCAATTTATCTCTAATAGTGTTACAACTTTTTAATATAATGTTATATAACGTTTAAAACAGTAAAAACATAAAGGGTATGTTTCCAAACAAATTAACATTGAAATTCTTTCATATGGTTTTCCTATTGTTGCTTCTGTAAACTTTTCACCCACCTCATAAAAAGCTGATATTGCAGAGATGTGTGTTTCACTTCTCATGAGAACAAGCTTTCAATAGGTTATACAAGCTCAGAAGATTTCACAGTCCTCTGTCACTGCATTGACATTTGGTTAGAATTGTAGTTTATGTGAAGTTGCTTTTTCTCTTAACTTTGGAAATGACATTTAAAGGCACATTTGAATTGTGCAAATTGTTCACTGGCTGCTGTCAAAACTTCACATGTGTATGTTCTTTAATATTACTAAAACATTACAATAATAATAATATGAGTAAAGAACTATAGTAATCTAGTAAGTCTAATGAATGCCTTTGAGGCAATTTAGGAACTTCAGGGATGAAATATTTTGTTTCAGTTTCCTATTTACACACAATTCAGAGAAAAACCTTTTATTTCCCAATGTATAACAGAAGAACTTCTAAAATTTCCACATTAGTGAAACGCAAAGGTTAAAGGAGATGGACAGTAGATAAGATAAATAAGGAAAAATTATTTCAAATTAGTGATAAGTTCTGGAAGAAAAAAATAAATCAAGCCAAGAAGGAGAACAGGAAGTGAAAAAGATAGGTTGTAATTTTAAATTTGAGGCTCAAGAAATGTTTGCCAGAGAGAGTGAGGTTTTAATCAGAACCTGAGTGAGATGGGAAGGTGTTCACAGGTTTTGAGTACTGGAGTGAAATGATCTGACTTACTTTGTAAAAGGAACACTCTAGAGGCAGTGTAGAGACTAAATAAAATGGAAGGCATAAGAGTTTAAGCTGAGAGACCAATTAGGGAGCTCTTAAAATAGTCCGGGTGAGAAAGATGATGGGGCTCAAACCAGGGTGGCAGTGGGGAAGGTGATGAGAAGCAGTCAGTTTCTGCATAGTGTGAAAACAAGCAAGATCTGACAATAGATTGGAAGTGGAGGATGAGACAAGAAAAGCCCAAGCTTTGCGTCATATAAGAAATCCAAGTAGGGATGTTAGGCAGTTGCATATACAGGTCTGGAGTTAGGAGAAGAGGTGTGGGCAGGAGATACAGATGTAAGAGTCATCAGCCTTATGGATTGTATTTAAAGCAACAAGGGTAGTGAGAATACTGAGGGAGTAAATAAAGTTAGAAATGAGACAAGAACTGAGACCTGGCTCAGTCCAATGTTAACAAGTTGGGAGATAAGGAGGGATAAGCAGAGAAAAATAAAACTCCCCTCAGTGCACCATCTTGGTGCCTTCTTCAGTATCTCTTCTCAACAGGAAAGCATGAGCATGACCAGGTTTCTGGTGTATACTCAAGGACTTTCCATTTGTATACATTTACTTTTTCTTGGCCTCTCAAGAGTCTGCTTGTGACTCTACCATACAAGTGAAAGAACTCAAATCCCCTATGGCAGGTATGGACATCCTTGCATGCCTTGAAATTCCTTTTGCTTTTCCATGGCTCTGACTTGTTTTTCTACCACAGTGTCAAAGGTTTGTCCTTACCTTTAATATTGATTCTTCTTCCTTGCCCGTTAAATATATTTGTTCCCAAGGTTATGTCCCCCATTTTTCTTTCCTAAAAAATATTTTCTGTTTGATTTTTTTTCTCCTATTTATTGTTAAAGGGTTGCGTTTTTATAATGTGTAACATAAATTCCTTTTATTTCCTTGTTTCCTAATACCTCTTGGATTCTCCCCTTGATTCCCAACCCTGTTGCTATTATCCAAGATGGCTGTCTGGGATAAAGTGAGCTGAAATAAAAAACTACTGAGATACAGTGGAAGGAACTGCTCTGAGTAAGTTAGGAGTGGCTGTGCAATCAGATGTGGGTCTAGTTGGTGAGAATGATCTAGAACAAAGCCCTAGCCTTTTGTTAAAGTGACCATGATTTGCTAGCATATCTGTATTGCCTTTATATCTAGCTATATCATGCATGTTTTACTGCCAAAAGATAAAAGATAATAAATGATTATAAAGAACAGGTGATATGAATGGGTGATACGCCAACATCAGAAAAACCTGGAAAACAGAGAGGTTGATGTGGAAAATACACCATTGTAGCTAGTTGTATTATTAAAAAAATAAAAAATGATTCTGAAACATGGGATCTTAGCTGGATACATTGGTTTGTTCAGTGTGTAGGCAGTAGTTCAAGCCATGAAAGGGGATGTGATTCTCAGAAAGAGTATGGAAACGAAGAATAAAAAAAAGTAACAACAGAAAATACCAGTTATCCTATGACAGCACCATCTATATTAACCTAATCTTTTTTTTTTTCCTGGAAAAAAAATACCAGTGTTTCATACAGTTCATGATTCACCAACCTCTGTTATATGCTG